GGTGATTTCTGAGATTCTGGTGCACCCATCACCTGAGCAGGATACACTGTACCCCATTAGTCTTTCATCCCTCATCACCTTAAACCCTTTCCCGAGTCCCCAAAGTCCACCGCATCATTCTTATGCCTTTGCATCCTCACAGCTCAGCTCTCACTTATGAGTGAGAACATACAATGTTTGGTTTGCCATTCCTGAGTTACTTCACTGAGAATAATGGTCACCGACGTCACCCAGGTTCCTCTTCACAAGGAGCCAGTGACTGCACTCCAGCCCGATTTGCTCATTTGTTCATTCAGCACTTTGTTTATTCATCCACTTGTTATTTATTGAGAGGTGACTGTATGTCAGGCACTGTTCTGGGCTCCAAATTCTTGTCCTGTTAGCACTTTCATTCCAGCGCAAGAGCCAGACCACAAATAAATACAAAATGAAATGCTGAGTGCTGACAAGAGATGCTACAGAAAGGAAAGCAGATAAAGGGACACAGCAAGGGTGCAGGGTGGGTGGTCTACACAGAAGCCTGAAAGAGGGGCTTGAGGAAACACAGCTGAGGCGACATTTGAGGAGAAAGGACCCTTCCCTTGCTCAGAGCAATGCCAGCAAAAGAAGAAAGAGTGGCAGAGAAGGCAGAGGTGGTGGCTTTTCCTCCAGGAAAGGGCCTATGGCAGGCCTGGTACGCCTGTCCCAGGTGAGCTGGCCACATAAAGAGGCTATTGTCACAAGCTCAGTCTGGAAAAGGTCACTGGTTTAGTAGCAAGTGGCAGGGCAGGACTGCCTGGGGGACATCTGTTCCTTATTTAGGGCTCAAGGCCACTTGAGAATGAATCAGTGAGGGAGGCCATGTGGTGGAGATGTCAGAAGAGCACTTCAGCACCATCAAAGGCACCGGGAGGAAATGTCTATCTTGGGTACACAGAGAGGGCTGCATAGAGACAACACGCTCCCTTAGCTCAGAGGTCTAGACATTTAAATAGGACCCCTTGAAAATAGCTGAAGGATTTCCATCCTTTTCCCTAGTCAAAATTGTTACAATTTTAATTAATGCATATTATAGCTTACAAAATGATCACTTCCTTTACTTCAAGAAATGAAATCTGCACAATCCACTATCCATGGCTTGCCAAAGGCCTGGCAGAGAGGAGTTAGCATGATGGAGGACTGTCTGAAAGGCAGCAAGGAACCACAGAATGCTGTGTGCTTGAGCCAGACCGCCCTGGCCCGCCTTCCAGCTTTCCCACAAGGAAACCGAATAGACAGAGACAAGCCAACTTCATCATCACTACAGAAAGGTTTGTAATCCTTTTATAGCTGAGACCTCGAAAGGTTGTTTCACTAATTTCTTAACTTGGACAGCTACATACTTCAGTCCGCTCTCCCAGGGAGCAACCAAAACTACCCACCACTGGTAATAAGAGTTTATAAAGCTACCGACAGTATGTAGTCAGCTACAGACAAGGAGACAGTGGTTCACTTTGATCACTGAAAAGCCAGGTCCTATGCATGCACCATGATTTGGAGTATGTCTGACCGACAGTCTGAGGCAGTCCGTATTCATGGTCTCTGTGTCCATCTGTCTCTCTTTCCCGGCTCCTCATTTTTCCTTTTACTTGGTTATGGCTAAACTCACCTAAAAGTGGACTTTGTCCCAACCTCCAGTTTCTATGATTGTTTTGCTTCCTAGAGACCTCTCAAAGTTTTTCTCATAAGAGATTTCTAATAAAATCTCTTCTGAAAAATTAAAAAAATCCAGTTATTTATCTTTTTCCTACTGCATTTTGAACATCTATCAGAGGCTGTTTTATGTGAATGTCTAATCAATACACAGAATTAAGCAACTGAGATAACACAAAGTATCAGATTCACAAATATCAGGGCTCATGCCTCAGTGTTGAGTCATTATTAGGTAAGGCAGAGAGAAACCCAGGCCCAGCAATGCCACTCTCTAATTCCTTGCTCCATGGAAAAGAGTTCGGGCCCTGATTTAACACACAAGGTCTCTGAGCTGTATGTGCATCACTGCTTACACTAAAGGCAGCTATGTTGATCAAGAACTATCTCAATTTTACATTCCAACAATTACAGAGTTTCTGCGCTATTTTCTAAGGGGTGCATGTCCTGTAAACCCATTAATTACAGATTTGTTTCCCACAGTAATCCTAGTCCAGGTATGTGTTAGTCCGTTCTCGCTTTGCTATAAAGAAACGCCTGAGACTAGGTAAATTATTTAAAAAAAAAAAAGAGGTTGAATTGGCTCATGGTTCCACAGCCTGTACAGGAAGCATGGCAGCATCTGCTTCTGGGGAGGCCTCAGGAAACATACAGTCACGGCGGAAGGAAAAGTGGGAACAGACACGTCTCACATGATGGGAGCAGTAGAAGGGTGGGGGGAGGGGCCACACACTTTGAAACAACCACCTCTCGTGAGAACTCTATCACAAGAACAGCACAAAAGAGATAGTGCTAAACCATTTAGGAATAATCCACCCCCATTACCCAGTAACCTCCTACCAGGCCCTACCTCCAACACTGGGGATTACAAGCCGGTATGTAATCCACTTAGTCAACGTATTACAATTTCAATTAATGGATACTATAGCTTACAAAACGCTCATTTCCTTCAAGAAAGGAACCCTGCACAATCTACAATCTATGGCTTGCCAAAGGCCCGATGTAGAGGTGTTACCATGACAGAGGACTGTTTCAAAGGAGTCAGGGAACCATTCTATCTATTGAGCGGGGACACAGATCCAAACCATATCAAGATACATAACGCTAAAAGCAATCCACAGATAAGGACTCTCTCCTAGTAAATACTATTAATGTATTAATATGTGTGTTTGACAGGTTTCTCACTGGGTTTAAGACTTGACCCAGGTCACCTTTCTTTCTTTCCTGGGTCCATAAGGGAGGGAATAGATTGAGGCTTTGTTGCCAATGCTCCCTTTTTGCTGGGAATGTTTATATATTAACTGATGTGCAGGGTATACAGAAAGCTCACTCGAAACAGCAGTCTGGGATGTCCACACAATGCTGTGTCCACTAACAGGGCTGGGTACTTACCAAGAGTGAGTTATGTTTGTTTCCAAATCTGTTTATGTCAGATCTTGTTGTTACCATTAAGAACTCTAAGTTGGGCCGGGCGAGGTGGCTCCTGCCTGTAATCCCAGCACTTTGGGAGGCCAAGGCAGATGGACCACGAGGTCAAGAGATCGAGACTATCCTGGCCCACATGGTAAAACCTCATCTCCACTAAAAAGGGTAAAAAATTAGCTGGGTGTGGTGGCACACTGGAAAGGATAGTAGAAGTCTCCTTGGAGTCTACATTCCTGCACTTGAGGAGTGAGTCTGTATACTAACTTTGCTTTGAATAACTGGTATTGGGAACTGCATTGTGGGTATAGGGACTGCAAGAAACATGACACATAACTCTAACTGGTGGCCCCTCAGAGACAAGACTGTGACTCCAAAGTATGCCTACTCACAGCCATTCTCTCATCACACAGCAATGATTTGTTTGTACATTTTCTCCATATTCTGTGGTCAGCTTTGCGGCTGGCTGAGCAATTAGAGGTAGCATTGGAAACAAGGAACAAGGGGTCTGTGTTCCAGGCTAGGCCCGCTTGCTCTTAGATCTGGACCTCCACTCTTGCAAAATAAGATTATTAGTGTTTCCTCAGAACAACCCCAAAGGTTCTCAGAGTTCTGATGGTCCAGGATTCCGTGGCTGCCAATTATTTCACAGCTGTTGAGCTGCTGAAGACTTAGACACAATCACCAACCCCATCTGTATCGAGAATCTTCCGAATGATCTAATGACTCTGACCTATTGTATGTGCTGAATCAATACTCCCCAATTTGGGGTACTGTGAATTTTTCTCAGAGACAGGGAGATTTTGGACATATTATTATTTTTGAGACAGAGTATGTCTCTGTTGCCTTGGCTGGAGTGCAGTGGCACAATCTTGGCTCACTACAACCTCTGCGTCCCTGTAGACTCTGCCTCCCTGGTTTAAGTGATTCTCATGACCCAGTCTCCCGAGTAGCTGGGATTATAGGCATGTGTCACCATGCTTGCTTGATATTTTGTATCTTTAGTAGAGATGGGGTTTCACCATGTTGGCCAGGCTGGTCTCAGACTCCTGACCTCCTGATTTGCCCAGCTCGGCCACCCAAAGTGCTGGGGTCATAGGCGTGAACCACCGTGCCGGCCCATTATTGTTTTAATAGTTTTTGAAACATAAAGTTTTTGGCTTGCCTGTGGCTTCTACAGCTATGCCTCATCAATGTATAAAGCAAGCCTAACCAGGCATGGTGGCTCACACCTGTAAGCTTAGCACTTTGCGAGGCCGAGGCGGGCGGATCACGAGGTCAAGAGATCGAGATCATCCTGGCCAGCATGGTGAAACCCCATTTCTACTAAAGATACAAAAAAATCAAACGGGCATGGTGACACATGCCTATAATCCCAGCTACTCAGGAGGCTGAGTCATGAGAATCATGACTCTACTAAAAATACAAAAATTAGCTGGGTGTGGTGGCGTGCGCCTGTAGTCCCAGCTACTCAGGAGGCTTAAGCAGGAGAATTGCTTGAACTCAGGAGGCGGAGGTTGCAGTGAGCCGAGATCGTGCCATGGCACTCCAGCGTGGCACCTGGCAACAGAGTGAGACTCTGTCTCAAAAAAAGAAAAAGAAAAAGAAAGAAACAAGCCTAAACATCTTGTAAAGTCCTTTTTGCTTTCTGCCTTTGTGCTTGATCTTTTCCATTTCAATTAACTTTCTACTGAAGTGTCATTGAAGGCAAGTCATCACAGAAATGGCAGAGCCTGTTGTAAATGCAACCTTTTAGCTCCTGAGAGATTCTAACTCCATTCCACTTACACAGTTTTTGAGTGAAAGTGACCCAGTAACTTAGGTGTAAGTCTCCTCATGACACCAGTATAGCATCACTGAAGATTTAAGAACAAACACACTTAATATATCTAACAACCTTTCTGAACGTAATTTTTATTTATTTTGTTTTTCTTTTTTTGAGACGGAGTCTCACTCTTTTGCCCAGGCTGGGTGGAACGCAGTTGCGTGATCTCTGCTAACTGAAATGTCCGCCTCCCGGTGCAAGCAATTCTCGCGCTTCAGCCTCCCAAGTAGCTGGGACTACAGGCACCTGCCACCACGAGTGGCTCTATTTTATTTATTTATTTTTATTTTTATTTGAGATGGGGTTTCACTATATCGGCCAGGCTAGTTTCGAACTCCTGACCTCAAGTGATCCACCTGCCCACCTCGGCCTCCCGAAGTGCCGAGATTACAGGCATGAGCCACTGTACCTGGCCTAATTTTTATTACTTAATTCAATAAACATTTAATAAACATCTACCAAGTATAAAGGATAGTCCTAATTAAACAAAAAACATGAATAAGATATAATTGATGACTTCAAATACACTACAAATAAGTAAAAGAGACATGTATATGCCTAAGAGATTTAAGACAAAAAATGGAATGTAAGCAAAAGTGTACAAAAATGGAATGTAAGTAAAATCCCATGCAAAACAGTAATTTTTTTTTTTTTGCACCTGAGGAAGCCAGCACCTTACAAGGGATGTTAACACTTGTGTTGGGTCTTTAAGGACAAGTAAGCATTTATTGGGCAGAGTGGGAGGTGGAAGGCCTTCCAGGCTGAGGAGAGACCCTGAGCACAGTAACTGTGACAGAGAAATGTAAGGTGAAGGAGAGGCTGAGTATGCATATGGAAAAGGGCACAATCTTAGTTTCAGATCCCAGCTTACCTACTGGCCAAGTAGCATCTTTTACCCTCTGAGCTTTGGTTTGCTCTTATAAAATGAAGCTATTAAAACCTACCTGGAGTTTTTTGTAAAGACTACAGATCATATCTATAAAGCATCTAACTTGCTGCTGGATACTTCAGATTTATTTAATAAATGAGATGTACCTTTCTACTGTCAGTGGGAACTAAATCCAGAAGGGAAGAGTTGGGTGAGGCTATGGATACCTGAGTCTGGTCTTGACTTGAATGCAGAGGTGAGCAGGCATTACATACGCTAAACACGAGAACATGAAAATAATCCTTGCCCTCCTTAACCATTAAGGTCTATCGGAATCACAACAGCAAAAACAATAAACAGAAACGTCCACTAGATACCAGGTAAGGTATAGGGCATTTAAAACACATCGCTTCACTTAAGGCTTCCAATAACCTTATAAGAGAGGTATTTTTTTCTTTATTTCTTCTAAAACAAAAACCAAAACAAAAATGTGTGTAGAACGTGCAGGCTTCTTACATAGTTATACATGTGTCATGGTGGTATGCTGCCATACTGACCTGTCCTCTAAGTTCCCTCCTCTCACCCCTCAGCCTCCAGCAGGCCCTGGTGTGTGTGGTTCCCCTCTCTGTGTCCATGTGTTCTCAATGTGAAGATAGGTATTTTTACCTTCCATTTAACAGAACAAAAACTGAGGCACAGAGACAGTGAAGTCCCTTGTTGTCGTGCTGCTAATAGATTCAAACTGTTGTCGTGCTGAGATTCAAACTGGGTTTTCTTCCCTCCAAATGCACAGGCCTCAGGCAATGTTTAGCATCTGCTCTCAATGTGGATCGAGGGGCATGATCCACGGTTAGAGTCTTTTACAGGGCAGTGAACAGTACAGTCAAACAAAGCTCCTTCTCTCTCTCTCTTTTTTTTTTTTTTTTACATTTCAGAGTTTGGCGGAGGTCTGAGTTGTGAAATAACGGAATCCAACCTTCTCAGAGTTATCACTTCCAGAGAATCCACCTTGCTATATTTACCTGGTATTTACATTGCACTGCCAGGCCAGACAGCCCAATTCATACCCCCAATAGCAGCCAAGAAGAATACAGGTAAGTTCTTGCTCTGTAAGCTGGTTCATGGTGGCTCTGAGCCTAGGCAACGGGCAGGTAAATGGATGGCCATTGGGAAGTGCTAGAGAATCTTATCCTGCACAAAGTGGCCAAGCCCCACAACTTTGCTACACACAGTGGGAAGACAGCTACCTCTGGACATTCCCCTGGGATCTTTGAGCACATGGCATGATGCTCAGGTGCTTACATACCTTCAAGCTAACTGTAGCAGGCAGAGGATGAGAGGAAATGTTTAAAAAAGGCAAAATAAAATTTCCTCCTCTATAAAGCCTTCCTCAGTTTTGTGGGCCAAATTTAGCTCTCCTGCTGAGCTTCCAATGCTTCTGGACCATGTCTTCATTATGATAATTATCTTTAACAGTGACAGGCATCAGCATCTTCTGGGGAGGTTTTAAAAATACAGATCTAGGTACCTGGTACCCATCTTGGAAGATTCTGATTTGCTAAATTCCTAACTCTGGGCTGGGCCAGCAAATTCGTATTTCCAAAGAGCTTCCTGGGCAGTTTGGTGTCTGATACCATAGAGAATAATAAATCATGGAAAACAAAATTCTGGCATAAAAACACATAAAATGCTATGTAAAAATTAGGTATGTATATATGCACATATCTGTGTATATATGTGTGTGTAACAGAAATAGATGAGTAGGCAAGAACATAAAGCAGATCTTGAGTCAATAAAGGAAACTGGTAAGATAGCACAAATTCTGAGAGCTAAGCAAGCTAAAGGCAGTATCTAAACTGGGGAGCCTGCCTACCACTTGCAGAATTAAGCATTGGTTTTAATGGCATAAACATAGGAAAAGGAGATACAGACCAGGATTACATATAAACACCCCAGAGAAGAAAGCATAAAGACAGGATCCCCCAGAAGTGATAACCTTGATGGGTAAAGGAGGAGCCAGACCTATAGGAAATCTGCCTATCTCTCCTTGGGTCTGGGTAAAAAAACAGTGATCTCCACTGACAATTCTTAATTCAAAGCTGATTCTCGGGTAGTTTGGGGCCAGAATCATAGCTACCTTATTGGTCTAAAAGCTAACAATCTTGTAGCCTGGCAGAAGCAAATACAAATCCTATCTAGAGGATTGTATTTTAAAATCTGACCTCAAAACCAAATTTCCAAGGACATGAACTTACAACGACAACAAAAACTGCAGAAGTAACAACGAATTCAACCCCAGAATACTGATAAAATCATTATCTACAGAACATAAGGAAAGTCTGTTTAATATATTTAAAGAAATAACAGGAAGTAGGTGGTGGTTTTAAAATATGTCTTCAAGATTGCTGGAGCATAGGAGTTGGAGTTTCCAGTGAGCTATGATTTTGTCACAGTGTTCCAGCCTGGGCCACAGACCAAGAACCTGTCTCTAAAAACCAGACAAACAAATAAAATACATCTCTCAACTCTTTCTCTTTCTTCCCTTTAAAGGGCAGAGATTCCCTCCCATTGAATTGTTTCAGTGACTCATTTCTAATGAATACAACGAGACAGAAGTGATACTATGGGATGTGTGAATTTAGGTAGTAAAAAGGGTATTATGTCCCACGCCTGGCACACACGCACACACTCTCTCTGTCCCCTATTGTTTACTCTCTTTGGGAGAAGCCATGTTGTAAGGAGTCTCAGGATGCCCTATGGAGAGGCCCAGATACAGGAAAAATGAAGCCCCTGGCCTATACGCAGGAACCAACTTGCCAGCTACGTGAGCGAGCCACCTTACAAGTCATTTATCCATCCCATGATGATGTGTGCCTGCAGCTGCACGAGAGATTCCAAATGACATTTGCCTAGCTGAGCTCCTCCTGGATTTCTGTCTAACAGAAACCATGAGATATAAAAAATCCACTTATTTTAAGCCACGAAGTTTTATGGTAATTTATTACGCATGAATAGGTAACTACGAACAGTATAAAACTTTATGACAAAAGAATAAGAAAACTGTCAAAAATGACCAGGTGTATTTGAAAAGGAACCAAATAAATGTTGCAGAAGTGAAAAATGACTGGCAGCTGACCTACCAGCGGAGACAATGTAAGCCTTAAGGGAGTGGAATAATACCTTTAATGTGCTGAGAGAAAATAAGCGTCAACCAAGAATTGCAGAACCAGAAAAAACACCCTTCAGGATGGCAAAATAAAGACATTTTTCAGAGAATAAAAAACAGATGCTATTAGTACCAGACACTTACACAAAGGGAAATGTTAAAAGAAATACTTCAGGAGGAAGGAAAATAATCCCAGAAGGAAGGTCTAAAATGTGAAGAACAGTGAGAAAAGAAAGCAGCAACTTTACAGATAAACATTTTAAAACATATCAATTGAGGCCAGGCGCGGTGGTTCACGCCTGTAATCCCAGCACTTTGGAAGGCTGAAGTGGATGGATCGCAAGGTCAGGAGTTCAAGACCAGCCTGGTCAACATGGTGAAACCCTATTTCTGCTAAAAATACAAAAATTAGCCCGGCCTGGTGGCAGGTGCCTGTAATCCCAGCTACTTGGGAGGCTGAGGCAAGAGAATTACTTGAGCCCAGGAGGTGCAGGATGCAGTGAGCCACAATTATGCCATTGCACTCTAGTCTGGGTGACAGAGCAAGACTGTCTCAAAAACAACAACAACAACAACAACAAAAAAAAAACCATACCAACTGAAAAATCAACAAGGCTATCTAATTAGTGAAATTAGAACAAGAACAAAATAAAACAAGCCAACTTTTAAAATACCAAGCATTTAAATCAGGAGGAGGCAATTCAACTTTCTAACATTCTTACATTGTGTTGAAGAGTTAATAATATCAGACTTGAAGTTAAATATTCATATTAAGATTCCTGGTATATAATTTTCAATCTAGTGGGGATTATAATCACAATGAGAAAAATCTACAGTCAGTGTAAAGAAGGTTAGAAAGCAGAAATGAAGAAACCTAAAAAGTGTGACAAATCAAAAGCATAGCATCAAGTGGTGGAAATAACACCCGCCATCTTGGAAGCCACAATCTAGTAAACAGACTTAGTTTTTAGGTGAAAGATTTTCATTGGGAAATTTTTAAAAATCCAACTATATATCATTTAAAAGAAAAACTCTGAAAATAAAAACAGGGAAGAAAACATTAAAAAAAACAAATCGAAGGAAAGCTCATGAGTTTGTATTAAATACAGACAAAACACATTACCAGAAGTAGTCTTCACATCATAAAAAATTGAAGTCTACTGATAAATGATAATATGAGAATTTAGCAAGTTTCTGAATATCAATATGCAA